AAGATGAAATAAGAGAATGTTTACAAATAAATATTATCTATTTACATTACTTTTTAAAATGGGTATCAGCTGATGCTGACTGTGAATGGAATTTCAGGTTATCCTGAATTACACAGTTAATCTTAATTCTTGCCTCTACTCTGGTACTAATGAATTTTAAAAATGCAGCTGTAAGTAAACTCTATAATCTTAAATTTTGAATATTAGTAGTCTGATTTTCAGTTTTTGCTCCCATTTATTTTTTGTATTTTGCATGCTGTTATTGTGTTACTGATTACAAACATATTTTGGTTCAAATCATGCAATAATGTGCTATCTTCCAGATTTTTCATTTCACTGTTCAGATAACCACAATTACAAAACAGTTTCAAAATCAGGTAATTCTCCTCCTTTACACGGAGAAGATACCCCAGTGAAAGAAGAGACTTCATCTCTTTCAAGCACAGTATGAGAATCCTATAGTCTTTCAAAGACTTGAAGATTTAATCTGATAGGGCTTTAGGCTACCCAGGCAGGTAACAATAGCTTTATCTTCTATCCTCTAAGGGCAGATGGAAGTCAATGTGACTGACTGTGCCACCACTGTGCTTCTGAGTTGCTTGTAGTAGCCTGTAGGCTATTCATGTCCATACAAGTTGACCTTACTGAGAATTTATCCCTCCTTGGAATTTGAAGAAAAGCCCTTGAAGAATCACAGGTCAGTCATGTGTGTTATTGAAATGTTTTCCAAGCAAGCTCCAGCACAAGCAGTTTACGAACCATGGTGAAAGCTTCTTCCTGTCTTCTATTTTTTATTGGAATTCTCCCTTTCATACAGCACCCTCATTAGTTTTCTTTCCTGTAACTGAATCACTCCTGAAACAATTAATATCTGTTACCTCTTTCATTAATAAATCAAGCTAGACATGAGACAAGTCTTTATTTTCTTTTCCTCCACAGCTTAATTAGATCATCGTTTGATAGATCTCTAAAACAGCTGACTGTACTCACTTGTAATGGGGTTATAAATCCTACTAAAGATCAAATTATACATTTCTTGTTATTATGCACATCACTTTAAAATGTCACCCAGCTCTTTGTGTATTCTTTCTTCCTTTTTAGAGGCATGCTAGTATTCTGCTTGGAAATCTCATGTTGTGTAACACTAGTTGATTTTTTTTAGCGTCTTTTATTTTCTTTATCCATGCTGCAAAACAACTGAAAATAACCACCGCCATCAATAATACAAATTAAAATATTTTATTACACATCTGAGTGTAACATGTGTTGTTTAACTCTGGCAACAGCAGAAACAAATAAAGCTATCATATTTACATACACAAGAGATGTATGTTGTGTTCTCTGTGAAAAAGTTACCTTTGCAGACCACACCTGCCCGAAACACAGGCACTTAAGAGGCGAGTTGGCTAAATTTTCCACTGAAATAATGATTTCCTTATTCAGGATTTATTTATAAAAGAAACAATTTTGATATAAACATGCTTTCAAACTTCATTCTCAGAACAACGAATACCGACGATGCTGTAATGCTCCAGAAAAGCTCTGCCTGTGTCTAATGCCCAGCAATTATCAACCCAGTGAGGCAAGTCTGACAAAATAACAACTGAAAACAAGGTCTGGTAACTTGAAAGTATAAAGGAAGCTTACCTACAGGGCACGCTTACCTACAGGGCACGCTTACCTACAGGGCACGCTTACCTGCCAGCTCTGCCTAGTGCGGGAGAAACATTAAAGTACAGGAAGGCATCTATGTCACTGTTGACCTACAGCATCTTCCTCCACAGTTACAAAATATTCAGATATGTTCTGATACACAGAGGAAAACTCATGTTTGTTTTAACTGAATTTATAATTTCAGAATGATTATTCTTGATGGAAATCTTTCCATATATATGGGAATCTTATTTTTAATGTTTTCTTTTAGGACCTTTAAATGTATTAGTCCTTTAGTAGCTTTAAATTTAAATATTTCCTGTAGAATAATGAAATAAAATTTCTAATTATGAAATACATAAATGAATACTTAAGACTGAAATTCAGCCTCCTTTGTAGATGGTGCACCAAAGGTTCAACTGAGCCTAGTGGAGACAGACATAGCGACAGGCTATGAGGAGAGACTCACTTCCAGAAAGCCAAACCCTCCCATTCTGTTTCGAGGTCTAAATCTACACACTGTCTGCTAGAAAAGCAATCTGTCTTGGGAAAATATGCAGCTTTTTCCTTAGAATTTGAGTTTATTTACCACACTCAGTGCTGCTTTCCACAAACACCCTATACACTGTGTAACGGCTCTCTACTGTTCTTTAACTGAGGTCTCTGCAAGCCATGAAGAAATTCATTCCTTGTTTGCTTTTTCTTGACTGTCTTCAGGATTAATACACAGAGCTTCGCCTGGATCCACCCCAGACCTACTTGGTCCTGTCAGATACTGAGAAATGTGACCCTAAGCCGGAAAAGAATTCAACTTTTGCAACATCTTAAACACAAGTACAGCATTGTGCCGGAGGATGAGCAATAGGAGCTCCACTGGATCACAGCTACTGCTCGCAATTGAAAGGCTGAGGCCTTGTTACTACACCCAGTCCTGAGTTTACCTTATCAAAACTTCCTTGTACAGTAAAAGTAGCTCATTTAATTAAGGATTAAGGTGGCATTTTGGATACCAGATATCTGCCTTGTTTGCTACCCAGACTTCAGTGCATGCATTTGTTACATTGGGTTATTCCAAGAACTGGTTTCTGTCTGCTTTCCATACTGGGCAGATTTTTCCAGTCATCTCGCTGAACAGATTAAAATACAAAAAAGAGACTAACTAGTACACATATATCAGGCTTTCTGGGAAAGATACAGATGAAATCTCTGAAGTGACAATGCTACCTGTTTCTGGAGGATTGTCTTCTGAGAGGCACAGTTACTTAAGCTCTGTTTGGACTATTTTAGGCAGACCATTGGGCCAACCGTCAGGCAACCGCACTCTTGCACTTGGTGGCACTTCCTACCAAAACACTGCAGTTTGTACCACGGTTGCCACAAACGGGGTCAGGCAACAGGTACGCTGAACATCACACGTTAACTGAAAGTCAAAGAGGTTCCTGAAAAAACACAGGTGCTCGCTTTCCTGAAAGAGATATTTAAGTGGCTCCTGAGGCACTCAAGTGGAAAACAAGTCCCACAAAGGAAGGCCTTTTCAATTCCCTGTCCATATCTCCATTCACATCCACCTGCAAGGAAGGGCTGATCATTTTCCACCTGTACATAACATTTCCAGCATCATGGAGCAGTCAGGGATTGAGGTCTGCTGGGTGCAAACCAGAGTAGAGACAGGAAAAGGAGACAGCCACAGAGTAGAGGCAGGCAAGGAAAGTGCAGCAGGACTGGCAACTCAGTTTCTCAGGTACAGAGAGCCTATCGGTTTGTATCCTCTGCTGTCCAAAGGCCAGATCTGGCAAATGACCACAGGGAAACAAATACTGCCCTTAATAAGTGCCCACTCCGATCTTGAATGTGCTTTTTCTTGCAAAGGATGCAGCATGTCAACACCTCCAGGCAGAAGTTAGAGCTAGGACTGCATTTAACAAAAGTGCTCAGCTGTATTTGTGGATTTAAACTCTCTCAAAATACTAAACTAGAAAGAGATTTACCATTCCGAAGAAGTTTAGGGTACCACTTTCAAAGTAAAACATAAAAACGAATGTAACTATTTACCTAAAAGATATCATTTGCTTGGATGAGACATATAAAAGAACAGGATCGCAAGTGTTGTAGCAATGAGACTATCACAATACCATGGAACAGAAATATGAACACTCCTGTATGTGGAACCACGAATAAAACAGAATCAACGCGCACACATCGACACATCTGTATAAATAGCACTGTTTGAATGGATGTTAAAACACTTCTCAGCCACTCATTTCTGCACCCTAAGGGTGCTTCGTAAAGGTAGTAAATAGTTTATAACAGTAAATAACCTTTAAAAAAATGTATTTTGTAGCAGTTCTCAATATAATACGCTATCGTATCTACTCTTTCTGTGGATTTTCTCTCAGAAATTTGAAACAATGCAGACACAGTTTTTGCAAAGCTCTTCGCAG